CCAAAGACACACCTGGGGCTTTCAGTGCAAACTCCCTGGAGATCCCCCAACATCTGTCTGAAATGCATCTTGCAGATCTCCGGCTTGAAAGCACTCTCTGTGGATCAGCTTCAGGTGTTTCTGGCTTCTCAATCCTCAGGCCCTGAAGTCAAAGAAAGAACAGGGTGGGGAATCAATGCTGGGCGAGGAGACAGGTAAAACTGATCCTTTATCTTATTCCACGTGCCAGCAAATGCTGCGCGAGGTTCCAAGTCTTCTCTGAGGCCAGGTTGAAGCCCAGAAAAGTGGGCCACCACTTGTTGCTCTAGGCATCTTTCCAAACGAAAATGAAAATCATTCTTAACTTTGGACTGAGATTTTTTTTTCAGTATTTAATGAGCATTTCTATAGGGACAAAACATTGCTCAACTGATAAATATTTCTACAGAGGTACTTGCCTGGTTTTGAATTACACCTTAATGCAGATGCAGAAGAGCAGCCATAGCTATCTGCAGTGAAGGCTGAAGAGCGAAGCCCTGGCTTTACTTAATTTTTTTGTTCATCTTTGGGAAATAAAGTAACATTAATGTTAATGGTGACTTTTGATGACCTAAGGCATTTATTAAAACTATATGGGACTGGGGTAGTGGCTTAGTGGTAGAGTGCTCGCCTAGCATGCATGAAACACTGGGTTCAATCCTCAGCATTATGTAAAAATAAATAAAATAAAGGTATTATGTCCATCTAGAACTAAAAAAAAGATTAAAAAATGTATTATTATATATTATCAACCTTAAAGTTGATAATGAGAGAGATGTTTTTAGCACGTGTGTTTGGAGAAGGTTATAGTAATTTCTGAGAGCAGATTTTTTTTGGAGGGAAATCTTTGAAAGGATAGGTAAATAGAGTAAATAGGGGTGGGGGAAATGGATGGATTAGAACTCACTTCTCCCACCATGCAGAATTCAGTTCTCTGAAGAATACAATACTCTAAGAGAAGATCACACTTCTGACACAGTATTATATTGAGGGTCTCAAATTCATTTGTCTTCCCACAGTTCTTGGAATTATAACTCCCACAAAATGAATATATAATAAAGTGGGCTGATCATTTGCTAACATATTTTTGGCAATAGAGCTGTCAATATTATGCTCCTCTTTGAAAATATTGCCTTCCGGAGAAGTAAACACTTTGTGCAGGGTCTTGCATGTAGTCAGTGGCTAAGCAGTCTGGCGGTGTAGAAATTTCAAGTGAGATGCACAACATAAAAAGCAGACAAGCTAACTGAGTCTTTCTTATTCATTCAACAAACATTTCTCTAGCTCAGGTTTCAGGCTAGGTACTGACAAGGGACACCATGAAAAGAAGAGCCTGTCCCCTGCTGGGTCTTGGAGAAACAGACAAGTAAACACAGAGCAGAGAGCTCTGCTAGAGTCACAAACAGCACTTTTCACCCCTGTGTGATCTGGGAGACACCCCGGAGGAAGTGACATCTGCAGGGTTGGGTAAGGAGGTAGAGACGGACATTCCAGAAAAGAGAAGCATCCAAGCAAGCAGGGGGACCAGAGTGATTAGGAAACCAGAAGTAAGTGAGTATGGCTATCTACAGGCGTGTGTGTGTGTGTGTGTGTGTGTTGGAAGATGTCCAAGAAGTGAAGTAGGCATGGGGAGGTATTTAGCCAACAAGCTCAAGAGAGATCTTCTCATGTGAGAGGTACCCCAAGAATCAGTTCTCCATCACCATTATCTTTGTTTTGGGGTATACAGTTTGACATGGATTCCTTAATCCTGAGCAGGTAGTACATTCACAATATTCAAAAATCAAAAACAATGAATGTATGCAGTTAGAAAAAAAAAAGCCTTTCTCTTCCTCAGCTTTGAATCTGCCCCCATCCCATCCTCTTCCTATCATATTTCCCCAAACACTTTAATTCCTTGTTCATGTTTCTTAGAATTTCTTTGTGCAAAGACAGGAAAATATGAGTATATTTTCATCTTTCTTACACTAAAGACAGTGTGTGCTACATATTAACCTTTGCTTTTTCTTAATTATATAATATTGGATATCTTCCTATATGGATACATAGAAATCTTTAACACAACCTCATAGTAACACATTATATTTAACTAGACCCCTATTAATGAACTTTCAAGTTGTTTCCTGTCTCTGGGCATGACAAACAAATTCATATTGTAGTGAATAACCTTGTACCTACCTTGGGTATGTGAGCGGGTTTGTTTGTATTATAAATTCTCTGAAGTGGATTTGTAGATGCGTGCATAGATTTGACAGAGATTGTTGCCAGAGGCTTACATTTCTTTGGCTTTACATAATTAGGCATATCACATAAATCTATAGAGCTTTTTACCTGTGGACTGGTGTCAAGGTCAGTCAGAATGAGTCCTGGGTGGGAAACCTTTAGCATGGATGTGATTTAAAAAGTACTGATGTTCCACTACTCACTGTAGAGCAATTTTAGTGGGAGTCAGTAGGGGAACAGAAAGAGTAATAAATAATGAAGTCCTCATAAGTTGAAATTTTAAGTTGAAAAAATTTTAACATGGCTAATGTATTGAATATTACATGAATAGGTCAGCCTGGCCTACCTTACACTGCTCAGAACAACTGAGATTAGCTACTGTTGGGCAAAATCAACTAACACAAAGCCTAGTTTGTAATCAAGTGTTGAATATCTCATGTATGCACACGATGGGCGTTTTGTATACATGATGAGATCCAAACACACAAAACACAATATCAAAACCGCTGGCAACACAACACATGGTACAGTACTATCTGCTCCCCACTCCCCTCCTTGCTATGGAGTGGCTGACTGGGAGTCCCCTTGCCTCTGTGGCTCAGCATCACAGGAGTATCACACCACAAATTATAGCCTAGGAAAAGATCACAACTCAAAGCATGTTTTCTAGAACATGTTTTCTAGAAAGCATGTTGTCTACTGAATACACTGTAAACTGGAAACATTGTAAGTCAAACCATCATAAATCCAGCAACATCTGTAACAAAAAATTCTGAAACTTTCCTAAGTCTTGTAGTCCCCAGTGGCCAACTGGATGATAGCCCAAGCTGCCCCTTTCCAGCACAGACAGCCCCTGACCTCCCATCCCATGCCTCTTGTCTCCTTATTCTGTTCATCAAAAGGTCCTTGGGACTAACTATATATTTAACACAGTGCTGGAAGTAGAGAAAGATGCTTGTTCTCAAAGAACTTCTGATCCCACTGGAGATACTGGCCTCAAAACAAACACAACAATGCATTAGTTCCATGGCCCAAAGTAAAATCAGGGTCATCCAGGACAAAGAAAACTCACATTTCTTAATGTTATTGCTACAAAACCCAGTTATTATAAAACTGGAAAAAAAGATCAGATATAAGAGAAAAAACAGTTGAGTATGGTTCCTCCTGGCACTGCAGGGCAGAGGGGTGGGAGGAAAGGGAAGACCAGATGGGGCCCTTGATCTGCTGAAGCACTGAAATAATAGTAGCTGTCACCGTCCCCTTCAAATAACGTGGCTTTGTCCAACACAACTATCAGTTCACAGATAGTTATTTTTCCCCAGGAGAAGAAATAGGCAAACTGACTTGAAAAGATTAGGACTATTTTCTTCAGTTAAAAATGAGGACAGGGTGTGCTACCAGGTCTAAGCAGAAACTCCCACTCTATCAGCTACTTTAGTTCTTGTTGGTTATGTGCTTTTTAATTAGTCAGTAGTTAGGTTATGAAATGTTTATCTGCTAATGGCAAAGATTTTCCTTGCATTTATTGCACTGTAGCAACTAGTTTGTTTGTTTTAACCTCTCTTAATTTCTCTATCGAGCAAGCAGCATTTCAACAGGTAAATAAAATGCTTTATGAAATACCTGCTCAAATGAGCACACTGGTTGTCATTTTTCATTGTTTTTCAGTAATGTCCATTCATATGTATTTTTACCTAATTACAGTCATACTATTGATCCAGTTTTGTGGTCTGATTTCTTTTTCCCTTTAGATTACATTATAAGCATTTGCCATGTTTCTCTGACTTCCAGATTATAACGGCCACCTAATGTCCCACAGGTCTGATGCTCCACTATCTGTGGTAGTCATTTCCCTATTCTGGGCCAGTGAACCCTACTATGTGCCTCATCTGGTGAGATAGCAATGCCAGAGACAGAAAATGTCTTTGAGAAATGCCCTTTTGAAAATAAAATAAACAGGTAGCCCCAGCTACATTATGTATCTACTGGACAAAAAGATGGCCCCAGATTTTAACAGGCCAGGTACAATTGTTGGTAGATAATTCTGCCTATGGCAGGTTGGAAATACACTAAAAGTTTATAAGTAAGATACCTGGCATTCATTTTCATGATTAATAGCAAAAAAATTAAAACTACTCTCACACACTGCCAACTCTACCTTCCTCCTTTCTTTCTCCTTGTGCCAGAACATCACAAAGGGGAACAATATTACTACTGACCAGGGTCGCTTAATCTTGACTTCCAAATATCAGTGGCAGATGCAAAATGTGCTGTTGTCTGAACAGAGAGGAGGAAGCTCTGTGGCTAATGCTAGCAGGTGAGGGAGTGGGTACTATGCTGAGTGTTAGGGTGACCTTTCCCTCTCCTTTGGCACACAGAGGCATTTCACACCTTGCAGAAAGGGAGGAAAGGGTTAGGGTGGAGTGCTGGAAGGTGAAAACGGAGAAGTTTTTATACCGGAATCTGGTTCCTTTAAGGGCATGTACAGAATAGGAGGGCAAGCAAGGGGAGAGGACCCACTGGACAGCGCACAGGTGGCCCGGCTGGGCGTGCGACTCAGGCAGAGGGTACCCTGCTTGGACCCGGGCCAGGGGAGGCGGGGATCGGAGGTGGTAGCGCGCCGGAGGCTGGGCTGGGTGTCCATAGGGGCGCTCAGGGAGGCAGGACCGGAGTGGGGACGCTCGGGGAGGCGGGGCCCGGGGGTTTGTCAGCGGGGAGAGGGGGGCGGGCCAGCGGGGGCGGGGGCGGGGCCCGGGCCAGGGCGCGTCCGCAGCTGCCGGAGTCCCGGGATCTCCCTGCGTGTCCCTCGCGGTCCCCGCGCTCTCGCCCCACCATGCTCCTGCTTTTAGGGCTGTGCTTGGGGCTTTCTCTCTGCGCAGGGTCGCAGGAAGAGGCACGGAGCTGGGATGACACTTCGGAGCAAGTAAGCGGGAGAGCTGGAGGGAGGGGTGGGCGGGGGCCGGCGGGGCTGCGGTCCGCTCCCTCAGCCTGCCTGGGCCGCGTGGCTTCTGGACGGGAGTCTTTGGGCAGTTCGGACGCGGGGCAGGGAGGCATCACCTCCCTCTCCTTTCTCGACTTTCTGCACCAAAGCTTCCCCACCTGTCGGTCACTTGTGGGTCGCTTCTCCATCATCCGCAGTGCCAACCTGACCCTGAGGCTCCCGCGGAACTGTGCCTGAGACTCCCAGTCCTGCGGGACCAAGTTAACTTCTTGGCCTCGGGTTATCTGGACGTGTTTTGGCCAGTCTTTGTTAATTTCTGAGGCGACTAAGAGTTTGTTGCTATTGTTGTTGATCCAAGGAGAAGGGACAACCTGGGAAAGTTCCAGACTCATGGAAGCTCAGCTTTTCCCACGTGGAAACGGGGAGAACACGACTTTCCCATTAGGGTCTCAGCAATGGGTTAGCAGTTTAAAAATCCCCCGGAACTAAAGCGTCTTAGCCCCTTTAACTGATACTCAGTATGTTCGCTAGAGCTTGTGTTTTAACTGGCTTAGCCTCCCAGGTGAATAAAACCAATAAATATGAAATCCCAATCTGGTGTCCTACGACTAGGAAAGCCCTTTGGACAGTAGTATATAGCGGCTTCACACAAGTGGCACTGTGGAGACCTGTGAGAGGAGTGGCTGTCACAGTTAAAGTGGACAAGCTGCTTGCATACACAACATTTTAGTGACACACTGTTCAGTTTAAAGCCTGTTTTGTAGGTTGGGAGGAAGATATAAGCAGGGTACCTCTTTTCGCTTTTTTCCTGCCCCTCCTTTTGAAGAGCAGATCTGGAAGACAAATCTGCCCGGTCCTTGGTTAATTTCATGCAGACTATTTCTTATGAATGGGCTTATCGATCAAGTGGAGGTGGCCGGTAATTCTTTCTGGGGGTCATCAGATGGAATATATACAAATCCCAATAGGCTTTTGTGTTGGTGTAGAACAAGTGCAGACTTTGGATCCAGAGACAGGCTGGTCCCTTCTCTTCCATTTACAGTGCAGTTCCTTTGGGCATACAGCCAAGGACTTAGATACCATATGGTAGGGACCTGATATATGCAGTGGACACTCAGTACATGGAAGGTGTTTTAGTAAGCAGTAAAGGGCATGATCGGTGGCTGTCTAGGTTTGAGTCCTGATTCTGTCACTTACCATCTCTGTTACCTTGGGCAGCTTACACTCAGTGCCTCAATTTCCTCTTATGTAAAATATAGGAAAATATTAGTTGTGTGTTTAAAACAGGGTTGGCACTGCATGTTAGCAATTGCTCTTGTGCAGCAGGAGAGCAGAAACAAGGAATTTAGAGTAAAGATCTTGTAACTTTTTTGTGGGATGGAGGAAAGGCAGTGTGGGAAGGACAGAAGTGAAGATTGTGTTTATGAATTAGGAGGACCTCTTACAGCTCTAACGTCCAGGAAGGCTTAACACTCTCTAAACTTTCCTTCTTAGAAAAACATGGATTCGGCCCATTTAATGGTTTCATGTGATCTTTAATATGTGGTAATAATTTGTGTTGAAAATGACTAAATAAAAAAATACAAATAAAATAAAACCTTTCAAAGTATGAAGTTCTATGAAAATTTGCAATTTTACCTTTGAGTAAAGCTCAAAAATAGAATAAGCGCTATTTTTAAAATTTAGTTATTTCTTTTTTCTTTTTTTTTTTTTTGGTGAAGAAGAATTTAAGAGACAGGTTCTAGTACAGACTTCCTGGGTTCACATCCTGGCTGGGCACTTGCTAGGGGATTATTTAACATTTCTGAATCTTTATGTCTCAACAAGAATGACAAAACTACTTAATTACATGGATTTTGAAGAGTGAAAGAATTAATGTACTTAGACCTTAGAACAGAACCTGGAAATGTTGTCAGTACTCTATTCTCAAATATTATGCTCTTCAAAATTACATGTAAACTTAATTTAAAAATTGTATCCAGGTATGTGAATTTTATGCAAATCTTAATGTAATTATATAGACCCATTAACTTGCAATGCAATTCTTATTTGTCATTTACCTTTAATTAGAAATAGACTAATAACACCTCATTCAAATTCCTGTCTCCACCCCAACACTACTACTTTAAAAGACTCTTTCAGAAAATTAATCTTAAAGAGGAAGTCTCTTGTATAAAATCAGTCTGCTGATTTATATGTTTTGTAAGTTTTAAATTTAAATAAAGATTGGCTCTATTCCTATGATTAGAAAAGCAGTTTTAGCTTCACAAAATAGTAATAGACACCAGTTATTGAATGTCTTCAGTCTCTCAGAGAGTTTGTTAAGAACTTTTGTGTTAAAGAACTCAGAAGCCAAGTGTGGCAGCACACGTCTGTAATCCCAGGAGCTTGGGAGGCTGAGGCCGGAAAATTGCAAGTTCAAAGCCAGTTTCAGCAATTTAGCAAGCTCCTAAGAATTTAATGAAACTCTGTCTCAAAATTTAAAAAATTAAAAAAAAGACTGGGGATGAGGCTCCACGTTTAAGTGCCCCTGAGTTGAATCCCCAGTACTGTCCTCCCCATCAAAAGCAATAAAGTTATGATTAATCACCTTTCAAATATAGTCATACTGCCGGGTTCAAATCTGGGCCCCACTATTTCTTGGCTGTGTATACTTGGGCGAGTAACAAACTCTCTGGATCTCAGTTTCATCATCTGCACAAAAGAGTTGATAATAGTTCTTGCCTCATTGGCAGGAGTGGATTTAGGTTTGAGGATGAAAATAAAGTTATCATAATTTGCAGAGCCCTTTTTAAAGGGAAAGAATATCAAATTATGACTACAAAATTAGGTGCTAAAGGGACCTCTTATTTAGAGTGATAAATTGCAACAGATGACAACTGAAAAAACATCACAAATATCACTCAGTTTTAGGGGTCTCTTACAAGGGAGGGAGCTCCAAACTTATAGTCTAAACATAATAAAATTTATTTAATAAATTGTGGTTTCTTGGCATGTAGGAGACCCTCAGTTTGATAATAAATTTGACAATAAATTGTATGCTCTCATGGTTATTGTGAGGACAGAGTTAATTCAGGCAAAGCATTTGCCTATAGTAGACACTAAGGTAATATTAGCAGTTTTTAGCATTTATGTCCAGCCTTATTAAATCTTCACAAGTTCCATGACAAGGTCCTCAGTGAGCTGCTTTACAAAGGACAACCAGGGAAGGCCACCAGAAGAAGCAATGCACCCAGGCTAACTGGGCGGAGCCCATACCAGAACCCAGATGTGCAGAGGTCAAGGTTGGGGCTGGCCTTGACTCCTCCAAGCAGCACCCCTCTTTCATGTGGACAGTTTAGTTTGTTTAAATGTAATATTCATTTGTAACTCCTGGCACATCAATAGTGTTCAATAAATGCTGATCATAATTCTAGCATCTATTGTAATACATTTCCAATTCCCTGAATTTGGAAATTTCTTACAAATTTCTATTTAGAGTCACATCTTTGTATTTGGGGAAAAAACAGAGAAGACAAATACATATGTGTGTGTAAATATATGAAACTTTCTAAAGCCAGTCCCAGATTGTGCAAACTGCAGGCCCCTCAATAATGCCTCCCTTGTGTGCATGAATGTGATTGCTGAAATGGAATTGTAGAACTGAATGGGGAAGGAGGATGCTGTGGGAGAAATTCCAGAGATGTGCTCATTCCCAAGCCAGCCATATCTCATTTCTTGGGGGTGGAAAGGAGGGGTGGGAGTCCTGAGCACTGTGTGATGAGTTGTATGTGACTCTGTGTTTCTAACTAGCACTTTCTCAAAGCCTTGGATGCTCAGGTTTGAGGAATCTTGCTCAATGTGCTGTTGGAGTTGCAGTCTGGAATGTGAGCAATGTTTCTGTGTCCCTGGAGCTGCAAGGTTGATTCAGGATGATGGAGCCGCGGGATGAAGGCCTGAGCTTATGTTTGTGTGTGGAAATGGTAGGGTCAGGGACAAGTGGGTGTCCTAAACCACTCATTATTTTCCTATATTTCCATTATTTTTCACAAAGAAACAAAATAGGTTGACTTGCCTTAAGGCCAGCTGATTTTTTACCCCAAATCTTCCAGGAAATTGTTTGCAATTTTAGCCCAAATTTGAAGTTTCTTCTTTCATTTCTGAAGTTATAGAAACCCCGAATTGCAAGTGGTTAGTAGCTGAACAACTTGCAGCAGCTTTACCCCAAAGGAAGAACAGTTTTGTGCAGGTGACATAGAATTACCCAAAGGGAAATACTCCCACACTGGCTCTTCTTCAACTGGTGACAAACAACATCTTAAGTGACCTTCCATGTCTGACCTTGGTTTTGGTTCAAGTTCTACAGCAGACCTCTAAGGTAACTTGTCTCATTAGTTACCTGTATTAAACCTGCTTCCCTTTCATCCCATTCCATACAGACAAAGCTAGATCTAGTCGTACCTCTATCATATAGCCATCCATAGTCACTCAAGAACAAAATGAACTTGACCTTTTCCCATTCCTTTTTTGGTTTTTGTTTTTCCTTTGTGAGACTGGGGATTGAACCCAGAGCCTCACACGTGCAAGGAAAGTGCTGTACCATTGAGCTCCATCCCCAGCCCTTTTCCATTCCTAAATATATATATATATTTTAGTTAGATAGTAAGTCCTTGATGGTAGAGATCATGGCTTATATTTCTTAATAAATACTGTGATCTGGACATCTGATGCTGGGGAAGTAAGCTCTAAGTCTTGCTAGAACCAAAGAATCCTACTTGAATCATCTCTTTAGGTTGCAAGCAAGTTGGTGGGAGCTCTGAGGTTACTATTTATGGTAACTCTTTCCATGAAGCTGAAAATCAGTAACTTCCTTGTTCCCAGTTCCTACCCCCAGATTATTATATAAGACAATGGAAAATTACTCAAACAATAAAAAGGATCAGGAATTCCTAACTCAAAACAATGATGATGACATTGGTGCCATTTGTACTTCCAGTCCCAGCTGGCACCGGGAATCTGTCTGTACTGGGATGTTTTGGTTCTGGGTCAACCTGAGTTTAAACTTGGACTGAAGTGTAGCCATCAGGATCCCCTGAGACATCAGATAGTTATCTCAAAAATGGAAAACCCACTTCTCTTGTTCTCCTTAAAGCTTGCTTATTTCCTTGTAAAATCTATTTTTAAAAGGAGGAGACGTCAAAGAAAATACTTTAGATCAATCAGAGAACTTAATACCTAGAGGGGTTGGGCTTTCCTTCTGACCATAGTTATTTTTAAGTGGTCCCCAGTCTATTCTGCAATGTTAGGGAGGGGAAGGCCTCAGATGAACCTGCAAAACTGGTAAATAACTTGCCCATGATCCTTCCAGTGGTTTCTGATACATCTTACCTCCTTTTAGAAATCAGAGACCACCATCCACCTAGGAATTGTTTGGTTCCCATTTGGATTCAGGGTGGCTGTCAACCTAAATCCTGTAGTTTCCTTTCTGTTCTTGAATTTTGAGTATGAAGCTATCTAGTGGTTTCTAGTTTTAACTTATAACACACACACACATACTTGGGATAAGGAAGAGGATGGGGTTAAACAATTTCTGTAATACAATCAGTTTTCAAAAGGAAATATCTTTATTGTTTTTTCTATATGGAAGGGATACCTGATAGTTTGTCAAAACTGAAGAAAATACAGAAAAGTATTAAGAGAAAGAATTCAACCATCCCAAAGTAACCATCTTTAGCATTTTGGTGCGGGTTCCACACATAAAAACACTTATCCTTGCAAAAATGAATCATATTAAATGTAGTGTTTGTTGCCTGATATAATATTTTAAATTGTGTCATGAATGTATCTGTCAGGATAAGCTGAGTTATGCTAGATAACAAGCCCCTCATTTATTTCTTGCTTATGCCACTTGTCTGTTCCTGGTTGGCAGTGGAGCGCATGTGTACACTGTTGTCCCTTGTGAACATGGGCCTGATGAAGCTACCGATCTAAAAACTGCTAATTACTATACTGGAGGATCCAGTGTCTATAATTTAATTCTTGGTCCAGAAGTGACAAACACTACTTGCCTTCACAACTTATTGGCCACAGCTAGTCATGTGGATCCACTTACCTTCCAAGGTAGTAATCTTTCAGGAGGAGAGCTAGAAAAATATTTGATGAATAGCATTAAAGTTTAGTAACAAGAGGATTTGTTGATATCAGTAAATATAGATCCACATCATTATTCTCAACAGCTCTGTTGTAATTAATGTATCATGATATATTTAATTGAACCATGTTTTAAGGATATTTTGGACAATTTCCAATTATGAACAATTGCTTTAAAAGTTGCAAAGAATTTTCTTGTGTATCTATTTTTTTCCATTGATTTCTCCTCCTATGATATTTTTCTTTTTAAAAATTTATTTATTTTTTATTTTAATTTGTAGTATATGACAGCAGAATGAATTACAATTCATATTATACATATTGAGCACAATTTTTCATATACAAAGTATATTCACACCATTCGTGTCTTCATACATGTACTTAGGGTAATGATGTCCATCTCATTCCACCATCTTTTTTACCCCCATGCCCCCTCCCATCCCCTCCCACCCCTCTGCCCTATCTAAAGTTTGTCTAACCCTCCTATGCTCCCCCTCCCAACCCCACTATGAATCAGCCTTCTTATTTCAGAGAAAACATTCAACCTTTGGTTTTTTGGGATTGGCTAACTTCATTTAACATTATATTCTCCAATTCCATTCATTTACCTGCAAATGTCATGATTGTATTCTCTTTTATTGCTGAGTAATATTCCATTGTGTATATTATGCTTTTCTATAAGTAGAATTTTCAAATTAAAAGACATGCATTCAGGTGAGAATATAAAATGCTATAGTCATTTTGGAAAAACGTTTTGGCAGATTCTTAAAAGTTAAATTTGCCAGTAATTTCAGTAATAGGAAAATAAAAGTATGTCTCCCATACAAAGGATTGACTGTGAATCTTCATTCAAGTTCAGAATCATTCAAAATAGCTACAAAGTAGAAACAACCCAAATGTCCATTATCTGGCGAGCAAATGAAATGTAGTACATCCATACAATGGAATATCATTCAGATATAAAAAAGAATTGAGTACTGGTTGCTGCAGTATGGACAAACCTTGGAAAAAATCATGCTATGTGAAAAATGTCAGACACAAAAGTCTACATATAGTAAGTTTCCATTTATATGAAATGACCGAAATGGGCAAAACCATAGGGACAAAGTAAATTTAGTGGTTTCAAAGGGGTAGGAGAAAAGAAGAGATTCAGAGATGATGGCTAAAGGAAATAGGGTTTCTTTCTTGAACAGTAAAATGTTCAAGTTGATTATGGCCGTATTTGCACAACTCTGTATATGGTAAAAAAATGTTTTTACTTGTGCACAGAAAGGAATGAATTTCATTTTATGTAAATTACACTTCATACCATTGTTTAAAGAATATGCAGGCAATCCCTGGCATATTTTTCAAGATTTTGATCTACATTGTCAAATTGCCCTCCAGAAAGAATATTTTATTACTCTTAGCAATAACCATTTACACTGCTACTATTGAGACAGAAATTTGTCATAAGTAACGTTTGGCACCTAGCTACAACTTTCAAATCAGTCTGGAGGGGCCCATTGATTATGACTGTGGTTTTTAAAGAAGGTGATTTTATCACTTTTCTGTGTCCCTCTGCTGCACATGGGAAAACATGACACATCATCCAGAAAAAACACAATAAGAAAATTCATGGTAAAGAAAAAAAAATCAGGGTAAGTTCAGTTTTGCTTTCAGAGTTTCTAGGAGGTTTTTTTTTTTTTTTTTCTTTTTCTTTTTCTTTTTTTTTTTTTTTTTTTTGTGGTGCTGGAGATTGAAACCAGGGCCTTGTTCATGTGAGGGAAGTACTCTACCAACTGAACCACATCCCTAACACTCTAAGAGTTTTGAGTTGCATAATGAGCCCATCAGAATAAGGCTGAGTACCTTCACTGATCATAATAGGTACAACAGCAAGGAGCTCAATGTCAAGCCCAAAGTAAAATGAAACAGAGTAAAGATATTCTAATATCATCTCTCCTCTTACCGGAAAGACCATTCAGGTGACCAGGCAGGTTAAGAGCTGACCAGATCTGTTGGCTCCAGTTCTGGCCTAGAAACAAACTCCGATATAAAGTTAAAACTACCTTTTGAGATAGATAGTCCTTTTGGTGAATTTGAGTGAATCTGAATTTTAACCCTCATATTTAAGGACACCTCATGATCTTGCTCTTCCATTTCTCCTCTTCCATGTAGGTTGGACTCAGGGTCCCCAGGCAACTCAGGCTGCTGCAGAGGCTGGTACGTATACCCTGGTGCATCTCAAAAGTCACTTCCCTTACTCCGCTGGTTCTTTTGAATCAGGCACACGCTTTGCATGCAGGCCCTCCATAGCTTCTGGGGTTGCTCTCAGAAGAATTCTAACATGAGTCTGCGTAGCTGATTCCTTTATAAGTTTTCTAATTTAAGTGGATTTTCCTTGCTTGAAAGAGACTTGATTATTTCAGTAGGACTCTAAGAACAAAGCCTGAAGTTTCAAAGGGCTGTCTTTTAAAAAGAATCTAAACATAACATTTATTTTTTTTATGGCATCCTTGCCCAGGAAAAAAACACTTTGTTGTGAAGTCAACCGGTCAGGCATCCAAAGAATTCACTTTCACAGATGAAGGCAGCTAGTGAAAGCTGGGCAGGTTCTCACTGCCTAATGGAGGCTAGTAGGTTAGAACTTGAACAAACGTTCAGAAACTCTAAGAGCTTGTTTGAAGCAATCTCAGTTCTTCCTTATGAATGCGTATGTGGTGAAATATCAAAGCGAGGGGACATGTCTTAGGCTCCAGGGAGGCTTTCCTTTCTCTGGCTGGTGTTTGAATTGATTTAGATTGTCTCATCATTAACAGTATCACATCCATTACCATCCTTATTTGGACTGGGATTTTGTCTGTCTGTCTTTCTCTTTCTCAGTACTTGGGGATTGAACCCAGGGGTGCTCTACCACTGAGCTACCTCTTCAGCCCTTTTAATTTTATTTTGAGAGGAGGTCTCACCAAGTTGCTGAGGCTGGCCTTGAACTTGCAATCCTCCTGCCCCAGCCTCCTGAGTTGCTGGAGATAGAGGCATGTGCCACCACACCTGGCATTCTTTTTTTTTTTTTTTTTGCTTGTCTTCCTCTTCCCCCTTCCTTCCCATGGTCCTCCCAATTCTGCCTCTCCATATTCCCAATTTTGTTAGCTTAGTATTTTTTTTTCACGTTTTTATCCGTGTTCACATACCATAGATTAACATGTGTACTTAAGTATGTCAAAGATTGTGAAATATCTGAGATTTTTCCCTGTTACCATTTCATTAACGCTGGCAGGAAATAGGAGACTCCTGGGTCAGAGACAAAGACCAGTTTATTCCTCACAATAACAGTAATAATAACCAGGGTATAACATTTGCTCTATTCCTCGACCCCAGTCCCTGGACATGATGACCCTTACACATGCAGTTGGTTACATGAGAGCAAACTTAAGTTTAGGGAACATGATTTAATAATACACCAACTAATATACCAACTGCCCTCTGAACCTTCCTGATTTTTGCCCTTGCAGGAAAATATTCTCTTTATTATTCTGGACATTAAGCCAACTTGTCCTCTGCTTTGAAAAGAGATACCACCTATCTTCCAAGGCTGTTCACTAGACAAATATCCTTGAAAAGATAGTGCAGAACAAAGCATCCAGTGTCAGCTAGTGGTAAAAGTGCAGAAATTCCAGCAACTCCTGGGGAATATTATCCTAACAGTACACACATACACATATTCATTCATTCAACAAATATTTTTTTGAGTGTCTGATACCTGCCCAGCACTGTTGTAGGCATAAAATATCTTGCCCTCTGCAGAGCTTGAATTCTAAAAGTGGGTGGAAATAGATTTTTAAAAAATTGAAATAAAAAATAAATAAAAGTAACAGCATATTAGTAACTGGGAAGATGAAAAGTCCCATTGACAAGATGAGCAGTGGAAGATGGGACCTTATATACACCTATACATGAGATTTCTGCTCATTGCTTTAAAACAGTGGGGACCTTCAATGACCACTGATGTTGGCCGACGGCTTACTGTGTGCCAGTCATTCCTCTTCAGTTCTTCGTGTCTTGTCTCAATTACTCTTATCATGGTTTGCGGGGGACAGCATGAGAAAACTGAGAATCAGAGAGATTGAGTAACTTTTTCAAGATTACATGGCTGAGAAGAGGTAGCAGGACCAGGATTGAGTCCCAATGATCTGGAAGCTTCTAAGTCCATGCTCTTAACTAATACACCAGCTACTCTATGAATTATATGTATTTTCTATTCCTTATCATTTTCACTCTATAATACTTTACCTGGCATAGCTCTACCCATTTTTAAATGGTGAACACCATTTAAAACCCATGTCATTGATACATTACAATTTATTAATCAGTCTAGTATTGAACTCTTAATTTGTTTCTAGATTCTTCTAAATAGTACCACAAAACAACAACAACAACAACAAAACCCTTTTTTATACTGTTATTCACAGTGCTTTAATTCTGTGGCTTACATTTTCAGTAGGAAGATTGCTGATTCAAAATGGATGTACGTTAATTTTTGACAGATGTCTTCAGATTACTTTTTGAATACTATTGCTGTTAATACTATCTGTATTTATTCCATTCTGTCACCAGTGATGAATATACACATTCCTCTTATAATCATTATGACTACTCTTTTGGATTTGCCAGTCTCTTAGATGTAAAGTGATATCTCATTATTCCTTTGGTTTCTCTGAGTATATACAAGTTTGGAAATTTAAAAATAGATTTGATAGCCATTCAGAGTAGTTCTCTGAATTGAATTTTTCAGGTCCTTTGCCCACCTTTCTATTGTGTTTTTATCCCCTTAATTGTCAATGTAGCTGAGATTTTTGTATGTCACAGATACCTTCTGTCTTCTAAAACTTTCCCCCATAAAACTACCATTTACCTATTAATTTTACTTAGGGTATATTTGTCATATAAAAGTTTTAAGTTCCAAAGTAATAAATAAATTTATCTTTTCCTTTAGCCTCTAGTCTTTGTTCTTGGTAACAAAGACTTTCTTGATCCATTGGCTTAGACTCTTCAGAAAATCTCTTAGATGTTCTTGGAGACTTCTTAGAGTTTTCAGTCTTATTTTCACATGTGTTATAAATTTGTAACATGAACTATACCCATGCAACTGGAACCAGAACGATCTTTCCAGCAGCAGACCTGGCATATCATGCTTGTGCGTGCATGTCCTCGATGACTCCACATCACATGTGGGATAAACTCCAAGGACCAGGAGACCCTGCGGGATTTTAATTCCCTCTCTGAGTCTCCTTATATTCTGTGCTCTAGCCATCTCACATTAATTATAGTTCCCTGAATGTTCCACACTTTAATTAATGAATAGAATGTGAACGGCAACAGCTGGTCTTCTCCCACCATGGCCAGGCTGCAAGGATTTGCTGGATTTCTATTCTGAATTAATTAGGTATCCTTTTTATGAAGCTCCCTGGCAAAACACACACACACACACACACACGCACACACGCACACATTTTGAAAAGCAGGGGTTATCTTTGTGTCTGAGTTTCCATGGTGCTTTAGGATACTGGCCTAGTTTTCGTAAAATGATTCTCTGCTGACATTGAACCCTCAGACAGCAGATGCCCTGTCTTCATGGATTTTTGTAGCAGGTATTCTAAAATTTGTAGCCAGGAACTGTTATTCAGGTATGGTAAGATATGAAGACGCAGAGGAGATCTTCACAGAGGAAGAAGGCGGTACTCGTAGGTCTCTAGAAACAGGGGCTTCGGCACCAATGCGGGGTCACATGTGCAAGTACCATGGTCTGTCAGGAGGCAGAAGGGGCAGGGGACAGCATGGCTCAGAGTGTTTATTAGAGTTTCCATGAGAAGAAATGGGCATGGCCTGGTGTGTCTGCTGAGTTTAGCTTAAGCCTGGAGAGTTTGCATGATTCTGGGCTGTAACAGTTGTCCCTAGTTGTCCAGTACCTGCTCCAGGTGATGCAGGATAGGGAGAGCGTTGACTTGGTGTGAGAGTTTGATAGAGGAGGTGGTTGGGTGTGGGCCCAGGACTGTTGGTTGGTGTGTGGAAGGTGTGCGGGCAGGGAAGTCATGCGCCCTCTCTAGGAATGAGAGGGACAGTCCCTCCAGGATCAAAGCCCCAGCTGCCAGAGCAACAAGAACACAGAAACTGATTGTTGGCTACAATACTGCAAGGAGCGCGATTCTGGGCCACATTGCCTCAGGGAGGCTACTTAGGTGTGTGTGTCTGTCTCCCTGTGCCCAACTCTGACCTTCAGGATGTATCCTTTTCAGCAGATAATAGGATGGGGTTTTTCCCCCTGTAAAGATGATAATTATGTGTTGCGTTTCTTCTCTTTAAATAAAAGGAAATACTGCTAAGTACGATGCATTACTGCATGTAGGCGGCTCAGAGCTGATGGCCCTTGTGTCTGCAGAAGGGTGAAATGATTTCCCAAGGTGGTAAATACATACAGCGTGCATTCTGGGAAGGGCCCTTATCGTTCTGCTCCACGTAAGAACAGTGTGTGCTTCCTCCTTTTCCTCAAGAGGAGAGGCATGAAGGTTTAGTTAAGTCTTTGTGTCCAGAGTTAGCCAGCGGCCACAGCAAACCCTCCTCTTCTAGAAGAGGCGAGGGAGTGGAGTTAAGAGGATTTCTGAGGGAGCAGAGAACCACTCAGATTATTTCTCCTAATGGATATTAAAGGATGTTAGACCAGAAGAAAACAGGTTAATGTAGGAAAAGGCACCGGGTCCTGGGTGTTGGCAGCTCCCACCCCACACATTCCCATTGCATTTCCAGATGACAGCTTGGGTAATTCAGGACATCCTCTGGGTGGCTTGATTTTAAATGACTCACATGAGTCATCTGAAAACCTTTGGTCCCTTAGGCAGCTAATTAAGACACTCCCTGCCTCAAACTACTTTTCCATCTGTTTCATTATTTTTTTGCAGGAAAAAATAATGAAGAAATTATACTGTGTCACAGGAAGATTTTTTTTGTGGCCCCCAATTTTCCAGTTGACATCCCCAAACAAAATTATTAATTATAAATATAGAACACATGTTATATTTTAAAAAACTATGTACTGGGAAAATTTGAGGTAACTGTTTTATATCCTTCCTCTTATGACAAATTTTTCATGAGCCTCTGCCATTCAACATTCTGTGTTTGTTTTTTAATGTCATTTCCTCTGTCACCTACCTGTCCAACACACTTTCCAT